AACTCCAGGTTGTGATGTCATTCAATCTTCCTATAACTCCATTGCAAAACTCTACGACATACCCCAAATTTTGGGTTTCTGGGATTCCAAAAAATATGCGCAAAAATGGCTTATAGCATTCGATTCGGCGTAAAAAGAAAAGAAACCTACGCAAGAGGAATCTCTCAGGCAGTGTTATCAAATTCCAGAAATCTAGGATCAAAAAATTGAAAAAACGGCCGTTGCAAAATTATACGACATAGCAGAAATTTCGACAATTTTTTTGCTTCACTAAAAAATTTTTCCAGAGTACTCCACAGTCGTAATAGTACGGTGTTGGAGAAAGGCTGTCTTCGGATTCACCGGAGCACGATCTCATCTTGAGTAGCCGATTTATTTATTTACCAGATTAGTCCCCCGTCAACCGCCGGGACCTTCCTTTCCTGCGCAAGCTTTCTATCCTCCGCTATGGTCCCTTCCTCCTGTGACACCAACACCTCCTGGAAGTGACGCGTATGCAACACAATGGTGTTTCATACAGTAGAAGGGACACAATCATGATATGACGGTAGATTTTTCGCTTCCCTTCCTCATCCTCCCTTCCTCTCTCCACTGCCCTCCAGCTGCCACTGCAGCACCATGTGGAATGAACGGAAGTGTGCTAAGCAGGTGTTTATATAGCCCTAGGAGTGTTATCACAATTATCCTGCTACAAAACATTGATATCTCAAATCCTGTAAGCTACCCGATTTGTTAGCGGTTTGTTTATCCCATGAGCTTCCTTCTCACTCACTTCATTTTGCGGACGGACACACATACATACATACACACATACATACATACAGACACACATACATACAAACCGACACACAAAGTTAGCGCTTTATATAATAGAAGGATTTGTTTATTTAATACACCTGAAAGGGTGTGCACACGATGGACAAACAGAGTTGTAAAGCTGAGCGATCCATGATACAAAAAGTAAAAATAAAGAAAGGAGAGAAAATTGGGCTAAAACGTAACAATGAAAATAACCCTGAGATTAGGAATTTCAGAAAAAGGAACTGAGATGGCAGCCATTGAGGTCCTACACTGTAGCCGGTAATAAGGCCGCACTCACCATCCGGAAGACCGAAAAGGTCCCTGACGAGATCCTTGTCCCTCGTTCGGACGCTTTCGAGTCGAATAACGTACCGGGGCTTGCAACCAACTTAACCCATGACTAACGAATTAGTCTGGGACCCCAGGCGAACAACGAGGGGGGACCTCAAGTGAGGGGTCGATCAACTTTCAGGCTCACCGAGCGACTAGAGGCCACTTATCGGAACCTATAGGGCGCCAGGAAACCAAGATAAAAACGTAGAGCTAATATGTCTTCTGAACAGAAAGTGGTAATATAACACAAATAGTAAGAAACAGTATCACAAAGATGATAATGTAGAGAATATTCAGCTGAGTAGATGAGTAATGCAGTAATCATTCACAGTCTAAGAGAAATTTGCCGCAGCGTGCTGTATTCCTGTAAAAAAGCTAGCATTTCATAAGACAGAGTAGTCAACAGTTTAACTACTAGTGATCAATCTTCAATAATTCCAAAAGATCAAGCTTCATCAACTTTACTACTGAAAATCTTACCATTTGGTGATTGAAGCAGCTCATCTGGGAGACGACTAAGCCAGCGCGCGCTGTACGATAGAAAAAGTTGTGAAAAGAAGAGCATGGTTTTTTTTCGAGATTCAAGATTTTCAGATTTAATGTAAGTGAATCTGCTTGTTCTACATTGCAGCCGAAAACTACAGTATTTACGGGTGGGTCTAGTCCGTTCCCCAATATACAATGAAACGGCAAATTGTTGTCTCAAGCACTCCCCGAAGCAGATTTGCAGACCAAGGATTTTAATCGTCTTTGAGCTAGGGTAGATGACAAAGCAGTAGACAGGAACATCGAAGAAAGCAGCTAGGAAACAGCTGCGTACCTTCTCACGCTTTGTCATTTTTTTTGAGACTGGGGCTCCATACATTGAGAAGCATCTCGAGCGTGGACCGGGGTACCTCGCTTGTAAGGTTATAAGGAATCACCTCTACTGCGAAGAGTTAGAAAAAAATGAGTATAGGCACTCGCCGAAGTGCGTTTAGTTACATGCTCGATATCCCGAAAATCTTAAGATTAGAGTATGAAGTATCCTGAGTCTCAATAGATTGATCAACTCCATCTACCCACGATCCAGAGACGCGTGACAGTACAGAATATCAGCCTCGAAGAGACTGCGTCACCAATGGTCAGTCAATTCATGACACACCAAGACCGAACATTGCGTTTAAGGTTGACTGACCACGATACCCACTATCCTGACGCCCGCAACCTCCCTTGTCTCCCGACAACTAATCACCTTTCTTTAGAGCCAATTGAACAGCTCCCATGTTTTTATCATTATAAGCAGCGTAGATTTTGATATCGTCAGCGTACATTTGAACCTTTACGTCAACAGAAGTTAATGAAAGTGGGAAGGTCCATGGTGTAGATAAGGAACAACAGTGGGGATAGGACACTCCCCTGAGGTACCCCGCTACGGCAGTAGTGCGTTGGCAATAGGTTGTAGATATTGATGGTGGGTAACATGCTGGATGAATGAAACAAAAAGATAATAAAAATATTAAATTCAAAATTCGGCCAGTTTGTTGCAAGACTTATGGACCGACCTAATAGTATTCAAAACTTATTCTCGTCAATAAAAGAAACGAGGAAGAATTGACAGACTAATATTCCGCATGAAATCTGGAAATACTCTTAATGGAGTGTTGTCCACTCTTCTAGACTGCAGTAGTGTCGTCTATCTTGTCTTCAAAGGCTAAGATGGAAATCTGTCGTAACTTTGAAAGATGCGGCTGTTGAGTGTGCGTTTCCTTGCTTTCTGCTGCGGGAAGATGCTAGTTAGCCATAAACTGCTGCAGGCTTATAGGGAAGCTTCACAGTTCAGGCTACACTTCAAGGGTAAGGTGCTGTGAACGCAAACTAGGCAATTCAAAGCAATTTTCATTTGTTGTGACGCTCTACTGATATTTGGGGACAAATTGCTTAACTTTGAGTTGTCCCAAATTTTCTGTTTTTTTTTCCATTTCAACAAAGTACTGTGCGAATCAACCAAACTGTAAATGTTGCTGTTAAGGAAGAAGGCTTATTTTGTGGACCTGTTTGTTCGTGTTTCGAATCACGTAGCGATTTCTATGTATTAAACGCTGGATTGTCGTGACCCGAGAAATATAGATTATTATTCTGGGCCACGAGATGAGAACGCTTATGGTATGTTAACTGCTCTTTTCCCATTTTCTGTATTTTTTCATAAAGTCATTGTTTTGCCAATTTACTCGTGTAGCTATCTGATCTGATCGCTTTCATTCATTGTAATAACTGTTTTGTGAATAGGAGGATAGTGTTTTTGCTCATCCTCGTTAAATGAACTTCAAGCCGATCAAAGAGAAAAATCATTCAAACACTTGATCTTGCGTTATTTTTTTAACAGGGGCTAGAATTCAATGGTTGAATGTTCATGGTTAGTAATTTTATTCATTTGCTTTTAGATATGCGAAAAGCAATGTCTATGGATAAAGAAAAGAAAAGCGTAATACCATTACCTCATCCGGTTCACTCCAATGACATATGACTAGAGTACGAGGAGTCGTCGACTTCTTTGAGAGATCGACACTCCATTGCTCTTACCGATATGCTATTATTGTTTTTCTCTGCAAATGATTTCATTATTGATAACATATCTATCGGGTATTGTAAATCTGTGTCGCTGATTAGTTTCGCCGTTGTAGTGTTCGTTTGTGTACTTGCGCTTTCAGTGAAGTGGTTCCTATGAGCGTTCCTTAATAAATTTTCCTCTCAAATCTCGTATTCGTACGTACTTTGTTGGTTGAATTCCCAAACGTACATTATGCAATATTTCGCCATAGTGGGAAAATGACGGCTGTTGAATGGTCGGCACTACCTAAAAGCTAGGACGACCGTAGGCTTACTCCTAGGTGGGCGAACCAACTACCTGAACTCTATCTTTTAAGCTGCCTCACTCGACACTTTCGTCTGCGCTCTCTCGTTTTATCAGCGGCTCATGACCACTGTGATCTCACACATTCAAACTTTTGCCACACTGTAGTTGGTTCACCCACCTTGGAGTAACTCCCCCACCTCCCTACAATGCTTAGTCCTAGCGCCAATGCTAGTGCTCTCATCTCCTTCGGGATCTGGAGCCGAGTCAGGTGCCGTTCTTTAATCGTCTGTGGTCTCCATCCATTCGTGGCAGGACCATAGAAAGAACCTCAAGTAGTCCTTAAAATAAACTAATGGGTGGAGCGCTTTTGGAGCGGAGCGCTTTTCATGTACTGCTCTCGACCAGCGCACCATCCGTCGTGAACGCGCCTCGCCTTGCTTCCACGGCACCCCAAGCTACTGCTGTATGGGGCGCATACACGCAGTATTTTTCCGATGCGCTTCTTTCTTTATCGTAATCACTTCCTTTGAAGCATAAAAAGCAAAAGCTCGTATCCGATCATGTCCCTTGCCTTTGCTTCCACTCAAGGATCTCGGTGCCATTTGAGTGCTTCATATCCTACACAATGGCCTGCGGAGGCCAGCCATGTGCCTTAATCAATGAGCTGCCCGACGAGACATGAATGTTGCATGTTCCGAGCAATTTTAGTCCAATCTTGAAAGTCTGGTACACAAGAGATGTAATGTCAGCTTGATCGACGTGTTATCGATAGGATTCGTTGAACCGGTGAGAGGTGATGCGGTGCGACATGCAGCTCGTTACTAGCCCGTCAACACAGTAGTTAGAGAAACCAACAAGAAGGCAAAACAGCGCAAACAAAGCGCTACAAACTTTCACGGACTATTGTACCTCAGTTACTGCAGAGTCGCTGGCGCGATCCTCCTAGAGTAAAGAGAGCATACAGCGATTTAGTTAATGACATGTGTTCTCACTAACTTGAAAGAAGCGGATTTTAACGACAGCAAGTATGAGGGTATTCAAATGTTTCGCTTTATCTGTATTCCATTATCGCAATGTCTGAAAAATCCATAATACATTTATTCGAGGAGTCATTTCTTCAGATGGATGGTTAGACGAAGTAGCAGAAGGAGAAAGGCGTCATCACACCAAAAAAAACCGTTATTTCATTATATTCCAATATGGAACGACAGCTGACTGCCAGCCGAGGCTAAATGCGTTCGTCAAATCGCTTCTCACTGCAAAGAAGGGAAAATATTTGTAGGGAATTAGTGTGAGTTCTTGCGGGAATTGTGAGTCTCAGGTTAGTAGAGGCATAATTTGTTTGCTTTCGAGAGGCTGCGAAACTCTTTTTTGCGGTAATTAAGACCACTATGGTTAGGAAGGTGGAAGTTTTAGGGCTGCCCAAATGGTGAAGAGCGCTTCTTCTAGCACAGATATACCCTAGTTCAGCCAGGTTCATGTCCACTTTTGCACCTAAGCAGAATTTAACGCTATGTATTTGGATGCATCGGGGCAGTGTGCAGACTTGGCGATGCCCTTTTATTTGTTGGGGCGAGGGACAGTTAAGTTACTTTTTCTTTATTTCAAGCCATTCTATCAGTCATCTCCTTGAAAGGTGTGCTGTCTATCGATTGAGCGCGCAAATTCAATGATCAATTGAAATGCAGGCTCCGATAGAACAGATTTCGTTTAAACAGTCAGAGTCACATTGATTTGTTAGGACGGGGAAAGGGTGAGCTAGGGTTCATCGACAGTAATTCGTATATGCCTTGGTGGAAGCATACGCATAAGCATAGCAGGTCGTATTTCGTTTTTTAGGTGATTGTAGGGGTGAGGGCAGAAGCAGAGTCAACCCTGCGTTGCGCAGTTCGCAACGGCACGTTGAGAGATCCTCAACGCACGCTGTATGGGCGGAGACACAGACGGCTCGAGCATGCGAGTGTGAATGTTCGCGCGAGAGAACGTGTCTAATCGGGCGAAACTGCGCAACGTGGCCGTTGAGAACTGCGCAACGCAGGGTTGACTCTGGGCAAAGGGGCTAGGTAGGAAAGTGTATTACCGGCCAAAGGGCTTGCTATTGACCTGTTTGGGGAGGGGGGGGGCGGGGAGGGAGGAGGTACGGCGTCTTTATCCTGGTAGCAGGCTGTCACAGCAAATGGCTCTCAGGCGCTGCGTAGGATTGCCATCCCCATAGTGTCGTCCAACTCTCGATAAATCACTGCATTAATGGTTTCGCTGTAGTGTTGATGAGCTCAATGGCATGATTTCCTTTTCAGGCTGTGTTTACCTTTCTGTGGCCAATGAGTTCGGAATATTTCCGTTCAACTTTTTTGTGAAAGAGAGGGTTTCTCTGCAGAAAACATGACAATGTTGTTAATTTTGCGTATATCTGCTGGATAAATTATGCATAAAATGTTGTCTATGATGCACAGGATGTTGATCCGTGAGTTATCTCTGTCTATTTCTCGCACATACGTTCTGCATCTCACTTTGTACCCATACCTATGATTAACCACCTTTTTCAAAGTTGCAGATGTCATCAGCGTTGCCATCTACGCAAATAGAAAAGGATTGCTTCCCGTGTCGTGTCACTGGGTCTTTGAGTAGTGCAGCCATTGCAACATTCATATTCTATTCGACGGCGACTTCGGCATACTACGTGAAGAGGCCTTATGTGCGAGCAGCTGTGCAAAGTGTCGGCGCTGGTTAGTCAAAATCTTTCACTGACTTAACATTTCGAGTATAGTGTATCCTAATCAATATGATACTTGCAATACTGAACTTTCTCGAAGTCGTATTCTCCTATTCATTCAATTATCCCTATTACTCCAGCGGCTGCTTATGACAGCTACTGCGAAGCTA